TTTATAACAGTTTATCAGAAAATATCTTTTCATGTTAACATCAAATTGTAGTGTAATAGTTATCCAACAAAGCTGCATCCTCAAGTTTGCCAGATAATGAGGCCGTGTGACAGTTGTGTGGACTCTCTACATTTATGGTGGCAGAAATGCACCTTGTTGTGAACAAACACAGAGTGGATTTGTTAAATGGACCTTTACATGAGTTCTGATGTGAATCTCTCCCACAGATGTTCTGTTGCTCACACAGAAATACTTTCATGTACTTTAATAAGATTTGAGTCTCTGCAGGAGGTTAGCTGAGAAAATGACTTACAGCAGAAAAAACATCACATCAGTTGACACAGCTGAGACATCAAAATCTAATCAATTTAACAGATTAGCTGTTTTATCCGTTTTGTGTTAAAATGACAGATGGCACTAGAATTATAAACAAACAGAAAACTTGTTTATGCCAACTGGCAGATTTAATTTATGGACAGTCACAGGGGTGGATTAGTAAATGGTAATGGTAAATTAACTGGTTCTTTTATAGCGCCACTCACCACTTTCATATTTTTTCATAATTAACTTTAAACATGTGCTCTGGAGTCTATGGAGTCTATGGAGTCTATGGAGTCTATGGAGTCTATGGAGGCGGTGGATGAGAGGACGATATTAGTAAAGCTGGTTGTCTATCATGAACAACCCACATCACCTTCTGCATGAGTATGTGAGTGAGCTGAGCAGCTCCTTTAGTCAGAGACTGAAACACCCTCAAGTGAATGGCTGCTCCCATATGGGATTAGAACGATGCCATCTTATCCCATAGTCCAGCCAATGACGCGATTCACATTTTGTAACAGTTGCTTGTAATGCAGTGTATCACCACATGGCGGCGCCTCCGTCTCAGACTGGTGTGTCACCCCTTTTTGTTCTTCTTCGCACTCCTCCTGTAATGGATGCTCCCGTGTGTACGCGGACTAGTGTGCTCTTTAGTAATGTGTGGTAGAGGTAGCACTTTTATTTTTGATATTGTAAATAAATGAGTACTTTTTGGAAAGTCAGAAGCTGTTGCTCATTCGCTATCCACCTGCACACCTCCGCGGCTGGTTTGTGTGTTTGCTCAGACACATGAAAAATTAGAGGGAACATTGGATCAGAGGTGTATTAGATCAGTTTTGATAGAGGAGAGCGAGACAAAGGGTCAACAGGAAATCACAACTAATTAAATACTGAATTTTACATTGCTATACAGGAACTATACAGATAGCTGCACAGAAGTTTAAACAGCGTGAAATAACCGTTTTACAAGGTGATGTTTTATGACTGGTAAAGTCAGAATTCTGCTTGAATACCATATTTTTCAAACCATAAGGCACATTAAGCAAAACAAAACAGTCAGATAAGTCAAACTTTACTCAACTCATTCTTCTTGCTTCCTCCACTTCTGTACCATTGATTCATTAATGTTGAATTCTCTGGCAGCTGCTCTATTCCCATGTTGTTGCAGTATATTAATGACTAACCTCGTATTGTGGATGGATTATCTCAGTTGTTCTCCTGACTGAAGTTTGGTCCTTTACAGCATCCTGCCATGCGATTGCATTTGTCTCTAACCACAGGAACCTTCACGTTAACTTTTATAAGTGGAAAAGGTTAGGTTCTCCTAGCTTTTTTTAACTCTCAGTGATGTTGCAGTGTTTGTTTGACTTTGGGACCTGAAGCAGACTGAGTTTTGGACCCAGTTTACTCTGCGAGCCTCCTGACTGCAGTAACCGTAATGCTCCCGCAATCCATCTTCGTAGCTTACCAAAGTCATACTAAAACATGTTTTGATAGGTTTTGAGCACCTTGTACCACGTAAAATCGGTTTGAGGTCAGTAAGCGCAACCAGGATTATAAGTGCAGAGAATATAGTAATCATACAAAAGTAATATACCTAAAGAAATACTAACAGAACTTACTCTCCAAAATCATATAGATGATACAGGATCATAATTATTGATTTATGTCGGTTTTATTTTAATGTTGCAGCTTTAGATGGTTGGAACAACTTATATACTGCTGAGTCACTTTATCTATAATAATGTAGCATTACATAGTAATTAAATAAATGTCAGGGAGTACAATGTTTGAATTCAAAATACAGTAGAGCAGAAATAGAAAACTACCAAAAAAAAAATACATCAATACGGTTCAAACATACAGTATGAATTATACTCTATAAGTACTCAAGTGCATGTACAACTTTACTTTGTGTCACTGGTGGTATTAACAGATTTACAGCACTCTGTGTAAGATATAGAAGAATAAGCTGTTTCCTACTTTCTCCACTCATCAGTCTGTAACTCAACCAAACCCATAACGTCTGTGTTCTCCACAGTCTGGTGGTTTTCTGTTTTCTCTGCTGTTTTGTTGAATGTCAAACTCAAACTAACCTCAGTGGCATTTCAATTAAGTTGTGATGTCACTGCTGAGCAGTGCAACAAATCAGGGTCAGTCAATTTAAACCTGACATGAGTTCAGACATTTGATGCTTTTTAGGCTTTGCTGTAATAATTATCATGCATGACATGATAATTATTACAGTAATTGATCACTGAAGCCTAATGATGTGTCGTGTGTGTCGAAGCTCCGAAGCGTGTGTCGGGTAATCTCAGGTTGTTTTTGTGAAGCACGTATCGAGGCACGCTTTGATTACTTATGCAGTGGCGCTCGAGGCCTCGCGGGCAGTCCGTATCACGTGACTGATTCAGGAACTGGTTTTCTGGTGTGTGCCAGATTCGAAATCAAATGGACAGAAAAACACAGCTGATTTCCCCATCACATTGTGTTGTTGAATTTGATTACGTACGTGCTACATAGTTGAGCTTCTTCTTCAATGAACCAGCAAGGAAGAGATTTTTTTAATTTCTCTCCTAATAAAGTATGCACACAGTAATAAATATCACAAATGATAAGTACCATAATATAAATAAACAACACCACAGATCCTATAATCTGATTTCTGTCTTTTAGTTTATTAAAAACTGAAGCACCACACACTAGTTTGTGTCATTATCCAGATGTACATAAGCATGCCAAAACGCTGTCCTGATAGTTTCCACTTTCTTTTGTATCAGACATCTGATGGTGTTGACAAAATACCATACTTTCTCTCATAACACATGTTTTTCTGACAGAAGCCATCTTGTTTTTCATCATTTGCTTATGGCCTCAACAATCTGCCTAAATGAGGCTGTTTTTACAAGAAAAATAATAAATCTATGGAGTTGACAGAACTTGCGACACGATTTTAATCACTTAAAAAATATGTAAAAATAAATTTTCAATTGCATATTTTGATTATATAAGGTATTGACTTAAATACTTAGTGACGAGAGCCATGATGTTTAATTTTACATTACTTTTAATTTTTTTTCTGTATTTTAATATTATCACACCTGCTTCTGGACAATGGATTTTTAAGGTACTGGTAATGTATTGTACCATTTAAAATAAATATATATTTATAAATGCAAAATCATAGTTTTGTTGTATAAACATTGCCTTGGTTTGTCTTTTAGGCAGTTGGGTTAACACTTGTATGCATATTTTTAACCACAAAATTGGGTTTTATCTGCCGGACATGTTTTGTCCCTTATCTCAAGAATCCTGGTTATTAAAAAGTGAAGCACCACACACTAGTTTGTGTCATTGTCCAGATGTACATAAGCATGATTACACAGTTACACAATCATACCAAAACTCTGTCCTGATAGTTTCCACTTTCTCTTTTGTATCAGACATACTGAGACAATATTCGGGATAAATAACCATGAAAACAATTTATTTATTAAGTTTAGAGGTTTACACATCACATCATTATAATCAGAGCCTTTTCACTTGAATCGTCCACTTGATGGTGCAGTAGAGCAAATGAATCATCACAATGCTTTGAACCATGAGTCGACCAGTTGGATGGAAACCTTCAGTTCCTCACGAGGCTTCATCTCACCATCACTAGGAGTCATCATCTAATGACGCCTTCCCTACTTCAGTAGAATGCCAGGACCTAGAAAGGAAGAGGGGAGAGCTTAGTGCAGGACGAGCAAGCTAGGTAAGGAAGCAGTGTGTACAACAGTGTTTACGGCAGCTTGAAATAAGCTGCATTAATAAGGCCACAAGCATCACAGTTAAACCACTGTGTGTGCGTCGTGCTAGGTACCCCTGTAACACATCTCTTGCTAAACAGTTTTTGGACTAACTTGTGCTCTGCAGCCAGAGCTTTGTTAGACTGCTAACTGACATATTAACAGTTTTCTTTATATTGACGCAGAGCCAAAGGTCACACTATGAGTATCTTACATTATTATTATTTTGTCAACAGAGATTGTCTGAGGACTATGATGACATTACGCAGGTAACCACTGAACATCAGTTCTGAGCCTGTGCTCCATCAGTTAGATGGTGGCTCTCAGATCACTGTAATTGAATTACGTGTGCCACTATAATATATATAAATATATATACTATAATACCTGGTTGTTTGTGTAAACTTCGTACATAAATTTTATTTGTTCTGTCAGCTCACATTCTCTACATGTCAGTCTGAGGGAAAGCGCTGATCCTGATGTTGGTGTGTCAAATTTGTATTTCACCAGTTGACATCACATGCGTACCTTTAGAATGTGGTAGTAAACCCATACAAGGTCCTCTCTGCTGCCTCGTACTCGAATCAGAGTTTGATCGATGTCAAGTGATCTATTGATGTCAAATCACAAGATTTGATATATCAAAAATCCTTGTACATCGAATCAGAGTGTAATCGATGTCAAGTGATCTATTGATGTCAAATCACAAGATTTGATATATCAAAGATACTTGGATATCGAATCAGAGTTTGATTGACGACAAGTGATCTATTGATGTCAAATCACAAGATTTGATATATCAAAGATCCTTGTACATCGAATCAGTTTGATCGATGACAAGTGATCTCCATCCATCCATTCGCTTCCGCTTATCCTTTTCAGGGTCGCGGGGGGCGCTGGAGCCTATCCCAGCTGTCATAGGGCGAGAGGCAGGGTACACCCTGGACAGGTCGCCAGTCTGTCGCAGGGCTAACACACAGGGACAGAAACCATTCACACTCCCATTCACACCTAGTGGCAATTTGGATTATCCAATTAACCTATCCCCACAAGCTGCATGTCTTTGGACGGTGGGAGGAAGCCAGAGTACCCGGAGGGAACCCACGCAAACTCCACACAGAAAGACCCCGGTCTGATGGTGGAATTGAACTCAGGACTTTCTTGCTGTGCGGCAACAGTGCTAACCACCGTGCCACCGTGCTGCCCTATTGATGTCAAATCACGAGATTTGATATATCAAAGATCCTTGTACATCGAATCAGAGTTTGATCGATGTTTGATGTTTTAGAGATACTTTTGATTTTACATAACACTATTTAAAAATTCTAGTAATATCAATTTGATATAGATATTGTTATGTTATTATATGCTGTATGTGTTTTACTTTAGGTCTCTCTAGAAATGTGATTTGAATCTTAATGAGATTTTTATATGGATAAATAAAGGTCTAATAATATAGTAAAGATTAATTATAAATTAACCTGAGTAGCGAAAGACCGCGGTAGGTTTGAAAATGATTTGTCGGGAGTCCGGTGTTCTCCGGCTCTGAGTGACCTTACCCAACCCAGCTATCGAGCTAGTGGGTAACAGAAACGTCGGAGCGCTTTTGAAAATATGTGGTGTCTGATAAACTGAGCAGATATTTGAGGTTTACACAGCTACATTCTCGCCTGAAAATATGTTAAACGTTTATTTTGTGACCCAGAAAGAATAATAAGAGTAATATTAAAACTAACTAGCTGCCGCCATTGTTGGAAACTGAGCAGGGCCGCGCTATGAATTCTGGGACACAGTTTCTTCTTCTTCGGGGTTTAACGGCAGCTGGCATCCTTGTACATGCAGTGCTGCCATCTTCTGTTTCAGTCCGTTATTACACCTCTTAAATCCTACTACTTATTCCTGCGTCTTTTGGGATCTTACAGAAGCTTCAAACGACGCGTCGACTATTAATTAGTTGTCGATGATTTTGATAGTCGACGTAATCGTGGCAGCCCTAATCCGCGAGTTGTTCAGTAAACTTCATTTCCTACTTCATCAGTCAAGGAGTATGAAGTGGGATTATTTTTGTTCTTTTTTTAAATCAAAATAACACACAAGAGCTGTAACAGAAAAACAAAAAGACCAATTCATGTCCATCTGATCCATCCTCTGTGTCTCCTCCTGTCTGACCTGCAGGTGAGAAACAGGTGTGAGGTGTCAGCTGTCAGGTAGGTGATGAGTGAAGAACAGAACAGAATCCATTTCCTCTTCAAACTGCTGTCAGACATTATCTACTGCACTCTGATCACATCACTCAGACCAGCTGCTTTCTACAAAGTCTCATCAACAACATCTTTAGAAACAAACATCAACAACCAGGAAGCAGCTTCACCTCTGATCAGCACATCACCTCTCAACCGAGAAGAGTGTCCCCCCAAAAGGGACATGGACCCCCTAATGATCCTCTACCTAATCACAATAGCCAAGGTGTAAAAACAGGTGTAGGTCACAATCAGCCAAGGTTTCAGGTGAGTTCATTGTGAAATCTAGCCCCATAAGACCCTAGTCCTATTATGAGAGGTCAAAAGGCCCAGGATGTGCGTAGGTGTTAAGGTGTCTGGGAAAGGATCTCAAAACTGAATTATAGATGGCAGACAGTTGGTGACAGGCAGTTTTTCACTATGGCTGAATGTTAAATTACTGTTTGAAGAGTTGAGTGAGAGATCTGATTTTTGTAGTTTTGTCCATTTTGGAAGTTTTTTGTTACTTTTCTAAGTGAATGCCAAAACGGCCTTCTGGGCCTTCTTTTGGGACTTCTGAATTGATCTGAATTCCTTTTAGATTAGTGAACGTGTTGCACAACACATATAATTAAATGTGTGTTGGAAATATTTGATTAACCTTGGATAATGTTTATTACTCTTGCTAAATTACTTTACTTTGATGGGACCCATGCAAATGGTTTTCTATAACATTATTTTTGAATGAAATTATTATAAGAATCAATGTTATGACTTTGGTTATTGGTTTATTGGCTTTATATAAAATATGACATTAATTATTTGACTTTTCTATTTATGGATTTATTTTTCAATTGTAATGGCAGTAGAACGCTGTTCCAATTTAACTGTGAATGCTAATTTATGTTTTTAACCTTGATTAAGTCAGAGTTTTTTCCCCATTATCAAACCCCTGATCAGCGCAGGATGGCGAGCCACCTGACCACCGCTGTATTGCGGTAGGACTGATAAATCTATATGAACTGATAAATGGACTTCCTACCTGTTTGGAAACACGGCTTATTGCAGGTCAACTAAACTGAACTGACTAAACCTTGTCCAACTTCCTCTTGGGACTAAATTAGTTGTTTTGTATTATTATTATTATTATTGTTGTTGTTGTTGTTGTTGTTGTTGTTATTATTATTATTATTATTAGTAGTGTGATTATTATCACTATCATTGAGTTTTTTTATAATATATATGCTGTTGGGAATAAATAATTTTTCAGTGCCTCAATAATGCTATGCTTATTTATTAATAAGTGTTATAAGTTATATAGTGTAGTATTAAGTTGACACAGCCCTGAAAAATAAAGGCATTAGACCATGTGTCCTTGGGGAGTAGAAAGCTGCAGACTCTTGCTCACGCTTGCCTGGGAAAATTAGATCAAGAGGGGGCTGTCTCTAGTGGAAAGTTACTGAGACACTGTTGTTTAGACTAGAATGAGAGAGCTTCTGTAATAAAACTGTAGGGGCACACCACCATATTTGAGATCCGCGGCAACGTGTCATGCAGGACGCATCTCCCTTCTAGAAGTAATAAAGTGTCTAGAATGGTCTACTGAGCAGTGTTTTGTCTTCCATCGGATGCCTCTGAGGAATCAAAAGAACTCGGTGAAGTGTTGATATTTACAATGTATATATATTTTTCTTTTGTTTATCTGTCTATAAATTTCATCTCACCATAAGATACATAATACATGTATATTTGAGCTCTACTTCTGTTGTTTGTATTTTATCCGCACACTCAGGCTCCGTAGTCGAAGCACTTCTGACTAGCTTATTATCAAGCTGCAGTCAGGCTGATCCTTTACTGCGTTACATTGTGCCATGCGTTTATGAAGTGGCTGTTTGGTTTCTCCAATTTAGAGGTATGAGCATTCCTCGTTACATTGTACAGTATACACTAGGATTTACGTTTGTGATTAGGAGTTCTGTCTTTGGGAAGAACCAGTTTTCTTCTGGGTGTGTTGCTGGGTCTGAGGTACACTGGGATGTTCTCCCATCGGGCTTAAGTCTGGGACTCTCCGCCATTTGAACCTAGAACTGAAGAAGCTTCTTGGATGAGAGGTGAGACATCTTTAAGCAACGTAAAGAAGTCCAAATGCTTTTCTTTCCAAGCTCCTTACTACGATAACGATCTGACCAGTCAACCAAACTTTAGAAAAACAAACATCAACAACCAGGAAGCAGCTTCACCTCTGATCACACACACACTCAACTCTACTCACTCACCTGGAGGAACAACATGAAGGTTGACAAATGCTGATGACGTCACTATCCAGTTTTGCTCTCCTTCTGTTTTGCTTCCCTTCGTGAAGACCACGACACTGTATGTTCCATGCTCATTAATCGTCACATTGTTCAGAATCAAAGACACGTCTCCATCCTTCATCTGTCTGTCCTGCAGATCCACCCGGTTCTTAAAAGATGATGCTGGTCATCTGGTAATAAACTCATCCCGGTACAAAAGCACATAATCTGTCTCCATGCCAGATGCTGCTCCACTCTACCACACTGGGATCACTGTTGAGGTTTGGAACTTGACATGGCAGAATGGCTGTCTGTCCAGCTGTCGTGTTTATCTGGACTGAAGGACAGGAAACACCACAGAGCAGAGAGGTTAAAAATGTCACAGAAAACATCAGCAACTAGGAAGCAGCTCATTTTTTGATCAAAAACAATTGTAATAACTCACCACGAGGAAGAATCTTAAGCTCGATGCTACAGGTGTGCTCTGTTGCTCTCTCCCTCTGGTTTGCTCCTCGCGTGACGACATGGCATTCATATGTTCCACTATCAGCAGGTGTCACGTTGTTCAGAATCAAAGATACATCTCCATCCTTCTTCTGCCTGTCTTGAAGATCCACCCGATTCTTAAAAAACGGATGCTGATGATCTGGAACAAAGTGCCCATCCTGGAACAACAAGGCATAACCTGCCCCCAAATCAGATCTGATCCACTCTACAACTATGATGGGCTTCTGATTGTTGTGAGCTCGACATGGCAGAGTGATGTTCTGTCCAGACTCAGCTGTGATGTTTATCTTGTCTGAAAGAAGAAATAAAAGAGAGGTAAAAGTGAGAGAGAGAAAATAGAGATAAAGCTAATGGTATCCATTTAAAAAAAAATCCAATGTTGCCTTGTTCTCGAGTTACCGCACTCACAAGATTTTTGGAAAACTTGACTTCTGACCAAGGTCTGGTCAAACTCATCTTCATTCTCACATTCACATACTTCATTCTCCAGGCCGCTGCCCACCTGCCTAACCAGTTGACAACAATACCCCATCAGCCTTTTAAAGCTGAGGCATCAGTTTGAAAGTCCTCTTTCTCAAGTTATCTTGTTCACAAGGCTGGGTGTGGGGTGCACAAAGGTAAAGTTTATGCAGACTAGAAATAAGGAGCCTGATGTAAGAGTATAGGTAATGATTATTCCAGTGCAGTGTTTGTGTATTATCTCGAAAGTAAGAGTCACAAGGTGCAAGCAACACAAAAGTTTCTGGCTGATACAGCCATGTATGGGCAGATTAAATGTATCATATCAGAACAGACTTTATGGGGAAAACTTATCAGACTCTTCTTAGCAAAACTGGGATCAGACATGAGACCTAAGAACCACACACAAAAGAGTACTGCTAAGTAGGGATGGGTATTGATAAGATT